TTATCATTTGAATAAAATAAAAAAAGCGAAATATTTTAATTAACATATTGAGAATTTATACTACGTTGGACGTGGTCATGGAAGGACTAATGATGCAGGGTGCCCCAAATTTCAGATTCGAAACGGATGGCACTAGGGTAGTAGATTTGACTTACACATATTTAAATGTACACTACTCGCTTAAACTAGAGACTAAATATAATAAATTTATTTAATGCAACCGAACGCAAAAACACCGGTAGTCAATTCTGCAAGGACCCGGCCAGTTTCGCCAAATACCAACTTAGACGGAACAGATGGCGCTAGCGTAGCCGTTTTTACTTTGACATTAGAAACGCCCTCCGTCTTTGGTCTCCCCGTGACCACGGCTGCTGCAGAGTATCCTACACGCGGGGATGTATTTAATAAATTTGTAGCGTGTGTGTAATAGATTTCGCCCTTTAAACCGTTAAAAGTGTATTATTTAAATAATTCATGTTTTATCTCTATATTTCGAACGCCATTTTACCTCAAAGTTCAGATGTATGTATACAAAGTGCTTCTTAGTACTATTTGCTGAACTGTGAACACGACTTCCGCAACATCTCAACACTTCCTCTAAGGAAATTCAATACATGCCGATTGAGGAAGCTTAAAAGCTTTGTACTGTATGCTAATGTATCTTCTAGGGAAAATCTATACCAATATATAAAGCTGAAGAGTTTGTTTGAACGCGCTAACCGCGTACTACTGTTTTAAATTGAAAAATTCTTCTTTCATTAATTGATTTCGCTTATAGGCAAGTATTTAGTCGTATTTTGTGCCAGCCCGGTTGATGAAATTTAATGTTTCCCAAGATTTGAATCTACGATTTCTCGTGCTCAACGCAATGCAACAAAGGCAACACGATGAACCATGTTATTTCATTACAAGTACACTAATCCTACAAATTATTTCGACGGGTATTGGCCTAACGGTAGCAATGTATGGCTAATTGGTATCTATTAAATTCAATTTTATTATAATTCAAAGCCAACATAGGTCGATAACGCATTTTGTTTAGATATTATGTGGCTGGAGTATTTCATCTTCCATTAAATGAGTCTTATGCTTGTTTTGCTAAAAAAAAAACAGAAATACTGCCAGACTTTGATAGTTTTATACGCAAATGTAGCAGACAATAGCTAGTAAATTTTGAAACAGCTTACCACTTTGACGGTAGGTACAAATATTTAGTAATGGTTAGTCTCTGTACAATGACATTGTCTGCACTGTGTTCAGCTGTATTAAAACTAAATGTTTTTTTTAAACAGTTGCCGGTATTAAAACATGAGGCATTGTGTTTTATCTGATGTTACAATGTATTTCCTGTTAATTTATGAGAGAAAAGTGAGTTGGAATATTACAGTTTACATACAATGTCGTACAGCGTACTTATTTTCAGAGACTTTTAATTAATGTCTGTATTTACGCGCTTAGTACACAGTACACAACCTATTTTTAATTTATTTTAATTATGGCTCGGTTTTTCGGATGCTTGCAGCTGCCGTGGTCACGGAAGGACTGAAGATTAAGTATGTCCCTAATATAGACCCTATGCAGTTAAAGTAACTTATATATATCTCGCGTTTTAAACCGTCAAAGTGTTTTATTTAAACGTACCCCTAATGTCAAGGTCAATTTGCATCCGGACGTTTTAGTCAAATGAAAACAATCTATACTAATATATAAAGCTGAAGGGTTTATTTGTATGAAGGCGCTAATCTCAGGAACTTTCGTTAGTTGGAACATTTGTTGAGGAAGGCTTTACGCTATAAATCACCAGTCTGCAATAGGAGCGAAGAAATGTGAAAAAAAAAAACGCGAAAATATATTATTAATTTTCGAAAATAGTTCAAGATGCACAAAAATATGTATACAGTCTATCTTTTAAGATTCACAAGCAACGCTTTTGTGGTAATCAAATTTTGGACAAAATACCTCATAGTTCAAGAGAACGTTTATCAGGTCAGCTAGCTTATAAATATATATACATACACATATATATGAAGGCCCCAGGTGTTACAGCACGCGTCGTTTTATCAAATGTTTATATTAAAGGTCGATAAGTTTATAAACTATGCGTGCGGCTCTCGTAAGATGGATGCCGTCTTTGCTCTTCGAAGAATATAAGCACGGTTACAATGAATGTTATTTCTTAACTATACTATACTTCTGGAGAGTTAATCTTATAAGATAACATATATCAAACAAACTCCTTAACCTTACAATATTAGTATAGATTATGGGCATCGCAACTTGCACCTTGGTTGAAGTTTTAATGTAACTCACACCACTATACAGAAACAATACCGTTTTAAACCGTTTCAAACGCGCACTGTTTTAGTTAACTTCAATTTTTGTAACTATGCCGACGTTACGTGCTGCACCGTTGGAAGTTGACCATCTAATAAAAAAACTAATTTTACGTCTTATACCATTAAAAATGTTTTATGAAAACACGTTATAAGTTTATATATGATTTGAAGTGGTCAACTATTATTTAATTCAACTTCTCTTCACGTACGAGAGCGTGACAAAAAACTCTATGAAAATAACTGGACGCTAGTGAAAAATTTAATTCCAGTTATTTTCAAATGGGCATTGAAGTGTGCCGGGTCCCTAAAAATGTAGATTTTTCTCTGCATTGCGACTCTATTACATGCTACTAGCATCGTCCTCTGACTAAAGATGACAGAGCTACCTCAATCACATGAAGTAATTTAAAAGTAGACGACGAAAATATTTAAATAAAAGCGTTGGACCTGCCAAGACAAAAATCAAATCAAAAAAAAATCCATTCATGGAGCTATCTACACTTAAGGTTCTTTTTATTTAAAAATAAAAAACTAAATTTACTCTCCGTTCCCAAATAATAAGCGGAACGAGAAGAATCGGCAAAAAACTCGCCACCATTCCTAAACATAAATGTAATTTCTGCTAAAAATGATAAGGCCAAAGTGTCTGCTACATTTTCTAATATATAAACGGTTGTTTTTCTTAGTAAAATAGTAAATACAAAATACATTTAGTCATTTTGCAAATATGGACGAAATGCTGTTGAAATAAAACACTTTAACGGTTTAAAACGCGATATATTAGTTAAACTTACCAATTCACCCGTAACGTAGGCATAGTAAAAAAAAATAAAAATTAGTTAACTAATGCATTTCGCTCTAAACCGTTAAAGTGTTTTATTTTAATGTGTACTACATGCGTAAACTATAGACAGTGTTAATATTAATCCGTCTTTACAATTCTATAGTAATTGTGCTACCTGAACGAAGGTATTTATTAATATATGTTTACCAGGGTTCGAATCTAGATCTTTACTGACTTTGTGGCACTGTAAAGACGCAAAATCTGTATTTTTTGTTTCCTAATATACTTTAGTATATTACATAGTTAATTACGATCTACTTTTATTTATTTTTTAACTACGCCGATGTTATGACTTATGGGTGAATTGGTCACGTGGACACCACACCTGCTGTACGGTGTTCGTATAATTAAAAAATAGCTTATTTCACGTTTAAAACTGTTAAAAGTGTTTTACAAAAACACGTTCTAAGTATTTATTTATCATTTGAAGTGTTCAACTATTATTTAATTCAACTTCTCTTCACGTACGAGAGCGTGATAAAAATTATAATAAAAAATTAGTTAAACTTACCGATAGAGCCTTTGACACGTGGATATGTCGGGTCGTAGTTAAAATAATTTCCAAATTAGTTGAAAACATTTTGTGTTTCAAACCGTTAATTTAATTTTTAAACAAAATACTTTCTAGAGCAGATTATGAGAACCCTAACCTCCACACGTTATAACCGGAAGATAGCTGGGAATTTTTAAAAAGTTCTCCGTATACTTTTAGCAGATACGGGTTCTGTAGTTCTTGCTAATCATGATGTATGGTTTGTTAAATGATAAATTGTCGCTACTGAGTTGTTAACAGTGCGCTTAATAGCTTTTGAAAGAAACGATGATATATTTCAACCAGCTTTTCACATAATAATCGATTGTATAGTATATATGAACCTCGAATCGCGTTGTTATTACGTGAGTTATGGGGACGAATTTTTTCTCTATTTCTAATTATATACATTGTGTTTAAAACATTATCTGTCATCACAATTTCTTCTACACATTTTACACCTGATGATAAAGAAGTACTTATCAACTTAAAAAAACTTTAAAGATAAACTTGCACTAAAACTACAAAAAAAATTGACATAATCATCGTGTGAAAACTTTATTAATTTTTACGTGTTATTGCACATGAAGGCACTATATAATTAAAAAATCGAAAATAAATTAAAAAAATTTTCGAACAACAGCACGGAACGCTGACGATGCCGGTTCAAGTCCTGCCCGAGTCGAAAATTTTTTCAATTCATTTTCGATTTTTAAATTATAATCATCGTGTTTTACTAGTCCCTGTGCCCTTTCATTTGATACTCATATTGAGGCGGTTAAGGAAAAAATATGTAGTCCGTCATTTTGTATCTGCGGCCATCTTGGATTTATAATGTTATTTATAAAGGATTTATAATGAATTTAAATAAAACACTTTAACGGTTTAAAACGCGATATATTAGTTAAACTTACTCTCGTGGTGTCTACCCGTGACCACGGCTGCTGCAAAGCATCCGAAACGTCGGGCCAAAGTTAAAAACCATTTTCAAATAAGTTTAACTAATATATCGCGTTTTATACCGTTAAAGTGTTTTATTTAAATGTGTACTAATCGCGATACCAATAAGTTTTCTGCTGGGACATTTGTTACAGGGCGATGGCCGATTTTCTATACAACAAACATGCCCTTATTTCCATTTCAAGAATAAAACTACCTAATGAGCTTTATGAAGACAGGGTTGACATCCCTGAGACCGCATCACCAATTTCCACCAGGTGGCATCGCGGTCAAATGCGTTCTATATAAATATTATTTATCTATTTATGATTTTATTTATTTTCAACAGGGCGTCCAAAGTGGCCTAAGAAAAGTGGGTCTGGCGATGCTGACGTTGTCAATACCGATGATTGATGATAAAAAGAAAGTCAGTAGCTCGACTGAAGCATGTGTTTGTCTTCAACACCGTCGTGGCGTTAATCATTCAATTCAATAGGGATGGGCTAAGTGGTTTGAACTAGGCTTGCAATAGTATATTCAGCACTATACTCAATACCGAATATTCGGTGAACCTTTCTCTGAAGAGCCGAATATTTGATAAAATTAGTATACTTAGTAATGTAATCTTAGTAAATCGTAATCTTGTATTTGTAAATGAAACAATAGTTGCATAAACACTTCAGTTTAATACACATTACAGTAAGATCGAAAGTGCGACACAGATGTTAGAATGAATAAGAAACGAGTGTTGCCAACATTCATAAATTTGATTGTGTTCATATTCTATTTATATCCTTTAAATAGATCGGTAGGAGGTTCTAAAAAAATAAGACTATACGAACGTAGTTCGAAGATGATGTTAACAAAAGTGCTGTGTTTAATCTGTGCGAATTAAATATATCTCGTGGTAGAACGGCCACTACATCTGGAATGTTATCTATTGATATTTATTTATCAGTTATTGAGTCCATATAACAAAACACATAGTTTAACTGGTATTCGGCCGAATAGCGAATATACATAGCAAGCCTAGTACGAACCGTAACCGAATAGAGACCGTTTATTCGGTTACAACGTTCGGTTCAACTTTGTTTTTGTTGTTGTTAATTTATAATAGTTTCAATTGAATAGCGTTAAAAATTACTTCTAAGACACTTCCTAGTTTAAGAAGCTACGGATGTGCCAATTTTTACACGAAATTTGCGGTCTACCGAAATACAGTCCATCCCTAATCATTATGCATTTATCATTACGAGATTATCATACAAATCATTAAACCAATTAATATATCATTATCATTCATTAACAATTATGTTAAATTATTAATTAATGTTAAGATTTAATCTGTCCTTGTACATATCATGTTTTATTATAATTGTGTGCATAAATTCTGTTCCGTTTCATTTGTGCTTTTAATTGAGATATTCATATCATACAATGATAAACGCTCAAAATCTTTTTCCATTTCCAAGTACATAATTTAGTATCTGTATTCATAGTTCTATCAAATATCCAAAAATAAGTATTTAATAAAAGATATTTTATATTGAACCAGTAGATATCGCTGTGGTCCGCGTGTGAACCTTAATAATATTGCAAATTTATCTATAAGCTATCAAACCTGTAAAAATCAAGACTTTAAAATGCAGTGGATGGGTTTTATTGTATATATACCGTAATTTTACTTCTAAAGCGAGGATCGATACAATATTTAGTATTATCAATCGTATTTTATTAACAAAAATAAATGAACACTATCATATTATTTAAATAAAACACTTTTAACGGTTTAAAACGTCAAACTTGTCAATTATCATTATTATCTTCCCAAACTTCAAGCCCGAGTTAAAATGTATTAAGAATAAGTTACCTAATATATTTCGCAATTAAAACCGTTAAAAATGATATATTTAAATCATGTTATCATTCATCAATTATTTTCTATCATTACTCGTGTATCGTGTTTTGTCAATTGTACAGACGGTTTTGTCTTGCAGCATGGGACTTGGAAATGTTTGTTTTTTATTATTTTTTTTAGGTCTGCCTGTAATATTATTGTAAGTATATTATATGGTTTATCTATACTAATATATGAATCTGAAGAGTTTGTTTGTTTAAACGCGCTAGTCTCAGGAACTGGTACTTCAAATTGAATACCCTTTGTGTTCGATAGGGGAAGATTCATTTATCGAGGAAGGTTATAGGGTATAAAACAACGCGCTGTATGTGTGAAAAAACAGGGAAAATTATTCATCTTTGTGAGTTTCCGAAGCGTACGCTGCGACATTTAAAGATGTACGAGTATCCAAAAAATATGTATGAAATAATGATTTCCCTTTAAATGATCTAAAACATGTCCGAGAGGTTGTATATCTATCTTTTAAGATTAACTTGCAAGAACGACGAGACGCGACCGACGTCATAGAAACATCTTTAATTTATAAAGATGAAGTGGAAAGTTGGATGCCCAATATAACTATTCGACGCGGACGAAGTCGCTGACACAGCTAGTATGGTTTACGTATCTTGTTTATGCAACAGTCATACTTGCATATACTATTCAGCGATTCACACATAATTTAGCAGCGCCTCGGGGTTTATATGAAAAAGCGAAGTGGAAACTGTAATTAGTAACAAAATGGCGGAGTCTGCAGCCAGATGCAAATGCTGTCTTGAAATTTTAATTTTAATACGAAGTACGCCGCCGTCCTTGTCCTTATCTGCATAGTTTATGACGTTCATTTCTTGGTAGATCTGGATTAATTGTTATATTAGTAACGGTCATATATTGTGCAATACATTTTTGCAAATAAGTGATATTTAGAAATCCATCGTAGTCAGTAGTTGATTATTGTTGAACATTGAGTTAACATTTTATTTATTTAAGATTCATCAACGGAAACAACAAAAAAATTATTCTAAAATGCGTAGCATAAATAATGTATATATAAAAGTAAATAAAAAATAATATGTATTCTGAATTCATTTTTTTATAATAGAGGAGTACAGACAAACATGGGGTTTAATTGATGGTAGGCAATACCTCAACCATGTAAGGGGTTGTCCATTAATCACCTGAGGCTGAAATGGGGGGGGGGGTTTGATAAAAATCACGAAAATAACACCAAAGGGTTGGGGGGGTGTAGTAAGATACCGCGTGTATTTATTTTTTCGTCAAACGCGCGATTTTTAAACAAATGGTGTAGACATTTATATTATGGTCCTTAATTTTAGAATAAAATAAGATTATAGTTTATACCTGTATTTAAATTAAGATAATATTCAGAAAATTTTAAATTTCTTTCTGGGTACTAAAAATACACGTGATCTTGAGAAGGGGGAAGGGGGGTGGTTTTAAACCTCACTACGTATCACCAATGGGGGAGGGGGGGTTAAAAAATGCTAAAAAAGATCACGTGATTAATGGACAACCCCTAACATCTAAACAAGATGCGCTGTCGGCCTATTTTGGCTTTGGATATTAGAGAAACCGAAACGAGAAACACCAAGGCTTTATCATCAGTGGACGTCGGTTCGTGTCCTGGACGGAATTTACATATTTAATATACAGATTTTCTGACACAGTCCGACATACTACCATTACACCGAGAGCTCGTAAAATTTTCGCCGAAACAAAAAAGCGATCGCATAACCGCGACTTTGTGATGTAATTTCATTTATATTTGCTTTTAGGATAGCGCTGTTGTTGGGGATAATCGTTTCACAATATGACCTTGTTGCATACACCGTCACGCGAGATAACGTCATATGTTACAGATATGACAAGAAAATTAAGTAGATGTACTTCCGCGACCATGAAATCTCCATGTCAATTCAATTAGTTCATATTTGTTATCTGTTCCATATATGTTACATAAGACAAGTGACACCTACGTAAGTGCAATTTATAATTACATAATAATGCTGGGTTTCAGAATTTTAGCACCATAAAAGACATTTTATTTTAAACTGGCTGTGCAGCGACTTCGTTCGCGTAGAATAGTTCTTTTTCGCATCCAAATTTGTTTACAAACCTCGTCCCGTCGTTCTTGCTTAGTTAATCTCAAAAGGTAGACATGTAGTGTCGCAGATCTTCATTTCGAACCAGTAGTTCTTGAGATTTGCTTCAAACGAAGAAACAAACTCTTCAGCTTTATATATTAGTATAGATGGTAAAGGAAAATTTACAATAAATGACTATTTTCATTGACAATTGAAAAAATCTGGTTTGTTTTGGTTAAATTCGGATATTATTTCATTAGTTGATAAATAGCTTTAGGTATAGATAAAAAATATTATTCGAATATCTTATTTTCCTATATATATTGAAATAATTAAATAATACGACATTCTATTTTCTTTTCACACTTTCTTTACAACTTTTATTTTATATCGATGTTCTATTATATATCATTATTCATTTGCAAGGGTTGGGCGAATAAGACAAAGAACTTTATCGATCATCGCCATCACGAATAATTCTTCCAGCAATCGTCCTCGGACCTCCTGCTCACATGTGATGATACCGTCCGTTCGTGATGGCAAAACCCCGGGAACCTCTTCTCGTTCACGTCGGCATTTTACAAAGAAATATGTTTTCTCTTTTCTGTAATTTAGAGGTAAAACGTAGATGTCAACTTCCAAATGTAACGTCGTATATTATACAAGATATATCGGGACATAATACCAGCGCCAGTAAAATTAGACTTTTGTGTAGACGACAAAAAGAAAATTGACTAATATGCACATAACATGACGCATTTATATCGCTATTTGTCTGGCTCCATTGTGTTAGAAACAGTGTCGTTTTTCGTTATGAGAAACGTTTGCCGCTTTGTAACACAAGATGCTTAGGTTATATCTACTTAATATCAAATTATAAAAGGTATTCTAAGTAGCTATTTTTGACGTGAAAACGTTACAATAATTATGCATCAATTACTACTCGTTTTTTTTTCTGCGGTTATAAAACTTAGCTAATAGTACATTATGATATAAGTGCGGTAAGTTGAAAATTACAACCGCGGCGATATTACGATAAGAAAGCAGAGGCTGTAATTTTCAAAGCGAACGTATGTCATACGACGTTTTATAACATATTTACGAGGAAATGACGACATTTTCATATAAAAACAATACAGCGAAAAGAAAAAGCGCGCGGAATTATTTTTACTTGTCCACAAATAAGTGATGCGCGCGCATCAACGTTTTTTTTAGGCAAAGGTACAAAAACAGCCAGTTTTACTAATGAAGTAAATTAATATTTTTGTGTTTTTGTTATAGATAAATGGTTTGGTCAAAATTAATTAAATTAAAGAATTAAATGTTTATTTGTTATATTTTATTTCCCAAAGTTAATTTTGTTCATAAAATATTAACCACTTTCTTGACATAAAACTTCTTTGCTAAAAAAAAACACACGTGCCTTTTACATTACATTATCGCACAATTATACGTAATGAGATACATTACTATATTGAAATTGGTGTAATTACA